AGCATAGGTTTGCAGGAAGGTTTCTGAGGTGATAGAAAGTTTCTAAAATGGGATTAGTAATAGTTACACAACTATGAATTTACTAAAATTCATTGGATTGTACACTTAAAATGTATGATATCTAAAGTTCAATAAAGCAGTTTTTTAAAAAAGTCAATAAACAACAATGTGTTCGTTCTAAATATATACAGAAGTACTTATTTATTTACTTAAAACATTGAAGAAATTATACAAAAACATACTTACTGTGCCCTTTCACGTACTATCTACCAAAGTTTACCATATTGGAAGCCTGTGTGTTAACTTGTGTTATTTTTATATGTATCTCAGAATAAATCTTCTTTTGTCATTCTGTTCAGAGAAAATCATAAAATTGTAGGATGAACAAAACAATACAAAAACCTGGAACCATTTCTGACTATTAGCCTGTGAATCAGATTTTTCTCAATACTATACAATCAAAACAAATGCAGAAATAAATTTATTTCAGAAGTTTTCTGCAACTATAATAAACCCTTTCACAACATTTTATCCTCATCAAAAACTTTGTTTTCATTAAGTAATTTCCTAATAAGTAAATACTATAAATGTTAACATATAAGTAATAATAAATATTTTTTTATATTTTGGAGCTGTGTGCTTGTTTTTAATTTTTAAAAAGATTTCTGTTGCTAAAACAAAAGAAATCTAAACTGTCCTGGGCCATAGGTGGTACAAAAAGATCAAACGCAACTACATTTTCACTAGAAGGGTGATTAGAACCAAGTACAGTTTAAAAGAATACCTTATTATTGTCCTCTAAGGCTCCCAGAAGGTAGATGAGATTTTGCTTAGACAGCAAAGGTTTAACTTCAAAAACCATTAAAAAAAAAATGAGGTGTTCCATTTCCTCTTTTACCCAACATTTCGTAGAAACATAGAGTGCTCTTTCTCTCTTCCTCTTTCTATTGGTTGGAATCCAAACACGATGACTGGAGTTCCTGTAGCTATTTGGGACTGTGAGATGACTTTGAGAATGGAAGCCACATATGGCAAAGCAACAAGACAGAAGGAATGTGGGATCTTGAAACCATGGAATTGTTATACCGTCTCTGGAATGTCTATCTCTGGATTTGTTGAACATGGGAGATAAATAAATGTCTATATTGTTTATGCCTCTGTCTGACAACTAAACTTAACCCTAATGAGGACACTGAGATCAGAGTAGCGCAGACGGAGGGAGTGCTAGGCACAAAGGCTCTGAGACAGGAAATGCTTGGCATCTTCAAGGCTTAGCAAGGTAAATGTGGCTGCAGCATCAGTAATGGGAGGGTGAATGGAAGGAGTTAGAGTGAGGATGTAACGGGAAGCCACATGGTGTGGGGCTTAGTGGCTCATTGGTACTTTGAGCTTTTATTTACATGTGGGAAACCACGGTGGAAGGGGGGTTTGAGAAGAAAAGTGACCTTACTGATTTATATTTTAAAAGAATCTCTTTGTAGAGAATAGATTGATGCTAACGTATAAAAATCCTCATGGTGGGTACATAAGTATTCATTACAATATTCTCTACACTTCTTTTAAATGTTTAAAATATTCTAGGTTATAAAATTTCATGGAACACTTTTCGCAACCATATTTATTAACTGGCCAAAGTTAAAATGGAATCATTTATAGCTAGTTTTACAATAACCTATCAGAATAAAGAATGTGTTAACGCAAAGAGTTTGGTCTATATAAAAACTAAAAAGAACAGAGTCCAGGAATTGTTAGGAAGCCACATGGTGCATGGTTGTCTCAGAGACCTCTGCGTTTCAATCCTGCCTCTGGGTTTACTAACTGGGTAGGTGACATTGACTAAATTGTTTAACTTTCCTAATCTACCAAAGTGTAATCACCTTTATCTCTGAAGATTTTGGAAAGATTAAGTGCTTGGCATAGTTCCTGGCACAGAAGAATCATTCCATAAATTGTGTTTGCCATGGCTGTTGAGGACAGAAATTGACATTTAAAACCTCACAAGCTTCCAATTTCCAGTCAGGCATGTAAGGATCTTGGAAGTCACCACTCTGCTGAACAAACTGAAAAATCAATAGCTTTTCTTAGGTCTTTCAGAGAAGTGGTGGCAAACTGCTTCCCCGGAAATTGGAGAGACAGACAGAAAAATAGAGAACAGAAACCTACAAATAAAATCCTCTATGGAAAACACTGTCAGGGTAGGAAAACCTGAATTGTAATTGATGAATTGCTAGAAGGTCAGACTGGGCGAGTCCATGAGCTAAAAACTCCAAGGGAGTCCCCTCGCTTTTGTGAGTTTTATCTCCTGGAGTTCTACCAGATTCTCACAAGAAAGCTGAGAGAAAAATCCCCTTAGGATTCCCCCAGGAAAAGTAACCATTTTGAATCAAACCAAAGCATTCCGTTCTTAACAAAGCCTGACCTCAAGAGAAACTATTTTACCAGAGCCTAACCTGTTAAGGTTTTTTCAGAGCCTAAATGACCTGGGAAAAAGGAAATAGCCAACCCCAGTCCCCTCCAGCCATCTTATCTAAGGTTGGGAGGGAGGAGATCTGAGAAGCACTTGTGAAATTCACAGCCTAGGAGCACAGGGTCACTAAAGGCCTAAGGCCTAATCATAGGACTACAGAATGCCACCCCCTCCTCACATTTTACCACCACATCACTAAACGCCTATTTACCAGAGTTCCGTTTACCCAATATATAATGTACGGCTTTCACCAAAAAATTACAAGGCATACAAAAAGTCAAAAAAACAGTTTAAAGAGAAAGAGCTAGTGCCAGAACAAGACTCAAATATGACAGGGATGTTGGAATTATCAGATCATGAATTTAAAACAATCATGATTTATATGCTAAGGGCTCTAATGGGAAAAGCAGACAACGTGAAAGAACAGATGGGTAATGTAAACAGAGAAGGAAATACTAGGAATCAAAAAAAAAAATGTTAGAGAATAAAAACACTATAACAGCAATGAAGAATGCCTTTCACAGGCTTATTAGTAGACTAAATACAACTGAGGAAAGAATCTCTGAGCTTGAGGATGTGTCAACAGAAACCAGAAGCAAAGAGAAAAAGACTGTAAAAAAAGAACAGATTATCCAAGAACTGTGGTACAACAACAAAAGCTGTAGCTTACACACAATGCTGATACCAAAAGGAGAAGAAAGAGAGAAAGGTACAAAAGCAATATTTGAAAAAATAATGACTGAGAATTTCCCCCAAATTAAGAATAGACACCAAACCATATGTCTTACTCAGCTCAGGCTGCTATAATAAATTATTACAGACTGGGTGACTTCAACAACAAACACTTATTTCTCACAGTTTGGAACCAGAGAAGTACGAGATCAAGACTCAGTTCTGGTGAGAGCCTGCATTCTGGTTTGTGGATGGTCATCTTCTGGCTGTATCCTCACATGGCAGAGAGTGAGAGCAAACTCTCACATCTCTTTCAATTGAATCCATTCTTAAAGGTTCCACCCTCATGACCTATTTACCCCCAAAGACCCCACCTCTTAATACTATCATATGTGGGTTCAGGATTTCAACATATGAATTTTTGGGGAACACAAACATTCAGTCTATAACACCACAAAGCACAGGAAGCTCAGAGAATACCAGGCAGGATAAATATCAAGCAAACTACACCTAGGTATACATATTCAAGCTACAGAAAATCAAAGATAAATAAAAAATCTTGAAAGAAGTCAGAGGCAAAAACCATCTTGTCTATAGAGGAGCAAAGATAAGAATTACATCTAGTTTCTCCTCGGAAACCATGCAAGCAAGAAGAAAGTGCAGTGAAATATTTAAAGTGTTGAGAGAAAAAAACCACTCACCTAGAATTCTGTATTCTGCAAAATTATCTTTCAAAAGCAAAGAAGAAATAAAGACTTTCAAAGACAAAGAAACATTAGGGGAATTTGTTACCAATACACTTGCCTTACAAAAAATGATAAAAATCCTTTAGAGAGATGGAAATTGATATAGATGATAAATTTGAGGGCAAACACTAAAAAAGACATATAATGTATATGCTAAGAAAGGAGAGAAAATAGAATCATACAAAATACTCAATTAAAATCATAAATGGCAGAAAAAGAGTGGAAGACAAAAATAGGAACAAAGAACAAGGGCAATGAATAGAAAACAATAACACATATGGTTATTAATCCAAAAATATTAATAATCGCTTTAAATGTCAGTGGTCTAAATACAATAATTAAAACACAGAAATAGTCAACGTGGATCAAAAACAAGACCCAACTACATGTTGTCTTAAAAATCCACTTTAAATATAAAGACAAATACAGATTTAAAATAAATGGATAAGACATACCATGCTAACTCTAATCCAAAGAAAGTTGAAATACCTATAGTAATTTCAGGCAAAGCAGACGTCAAAGCAAGGAAAACTATCAAGGATAAAGAGGGATCTTATGTAACAATAAAGGGGTCAGTTCTCCAAGAAGACATAACAATCTTTAATGTATATTTACCTAACAGAGCATCAAAATACATGAGGTAAAACTGATAGAACTGCAAGAAGAAATAGATAAATCTACAGTTATAGTCGGAGACTTTAATACCCCTCTCTCAGAAATGGACATATCTACCAGGTGGAAAATAAGTAAGAACATAGTTGACTTCAACAGCACATTCTATCAACTGGATATAATTGACGTCTGTAAACTACTTCCTTCAACAACAGGAGATTACATATTCTTCTCAAGATCACATGGAACATTCACCAAGATAGACCACATAAGTTGATAAGTTCCTTGTTCAACAAACTGTAGGACTATGTCTTTGAAGTGGTTTAATTAGAGTGTTCCAATATTGGAGCTCCAAAATAACTTTGAGAGAGAAACCTCAGAAACTAGGTTTTCTTTACACTTGAGAAAGAAAAAGGGCAGCTCAAGTTACCAATGGTACCATAATAAAAGTTCGATCCCAGTGACACAAGGTTCATGTTTACAGATTCCCCTGAGATACTTACTTTCTATTTTTGCACCAGAAAGTCTTAAAGCAGCAGCTGGACCAAAGGCGTTTCAGCTCCAAACCTGAAAAGTAAAGGTAACCTTCTATATATAATTTTTGCCTTTTAATCACTTTACAAATGTTCTCTCGCCTCTTCTCTTTTTCTCTAGTTTTCTTCTCTTCAAGTAAAAAAGAATTTTGGTTCTTCTAAAAGAGCCAACATACCCCACCTAGAAAAAATTCAAGCAAGGCGGTCCCCTGTGGCAAGAATAACAGTTACGGGACGTTGGCCATATTTGCTTAGTGTGTCCTTTGGACACAGAGAATGCCTTTGCTCTGGATGGTCAATGATCAGCAGCATGAGCATAAAGTCGCTCCCCCCCAGGTGCCACATGTGTCCAAATGTATGGAAAAGTTCTGCACATCTTCAGGACAGCTTAGGTTCTGGATCAGGTGGCTTCACTTGGCAGAGCAAGAAAGCTCCACTCCATGTAATTGTTCTGTTGCTTATAAATAAAGAGAGGTAAGTTGACAGTACTTTGAAGGAATAGAGGACTTTGCTTTTGGTGGAAGGGGATTAATTATTCTCTCCATCAGAGAAGGATTAATTGCATTGTTTTGGAGGCATTGGCTGTGGGGATTAGAACGTTTGTAGGAGTATTTGATTTCATAAATTGAGCCGTGGCTTCTGATGGAAATAGACTTGAAATCCAGGTCCTAAGCTGCTACAATATTTGTTGGTTAAATACAAAAATACATTTGCAAACCCCACAGAGCAGGAAGGGGTGGTGGCCTGAAGAGGGCTGCTCTGCCTCCTAAGAGTACGGCCAATTCTTTGTTTTGGCTTTGCTTTCTTAAAGCTGCTTCCTCTTTGGCCAGGAGCTTTTCAGAAGCACATCTACCAGCAGGGACACAGTAGGAAATGCCCCCCAAATTCCTGTAGTTCTGTTTCCTTTGACTTCCCCTGGCAGAGGACTTGACAGCCTGTCCCCTTTCCTGAAGCAAACAGCCTAAGCTGTTTGTGTCTTGGGCTCTTCTGTACAAAATGGTTGAAAAATCTTCCAAAGATCCCAGCAGACTCATCATCCTGGTTTATCAGTATGCACATCATCCCTCTAGGTACAGGTTGCTTGACTCTCCCCAGGTTTATTTGATAAAGCCAAGATTCTAATCTTAAAATACATAAGCCTTAAACCCCTAGGGTATATGTTCCGATTACTCTTTGAGTTGCAAATTCTTTTCTCTCTTGGAAAAGTACGAGTCTAAACTTTTCTTTTCACACTGCCTTCTGATTTACACGCTGATTCCAACTCACTTGGTGTAAAAACGGTAAACTAGAAGTATAAACAACTCACAGATGTATACTTCCTTCTGAAAATCTACCCTCCTCCTTCACTTTCATAAAGGTGCTCTTATCCTTCCTTTGTGTGTGGCCATCAGTCCCAGCACTTCTTCCTTTACATGTTCAAGAAGTCTGTCTCTTTCCATAACCTCTGACCTTAGCTCAGCCCTTTATATCTGGACTGTTTTCTAACTATTCTCTGCCAACAACGCTCGCTCCTCCAATACAACCTAAACCATCCTACACCTTGTCCCCAGGAAAATCTTTATTCTAGAACCACCAAAGTCTTTCTTCATATCATTGCCTGTTGAAAAATCGTTCATTCTTCCCTCTACTAAAAGAATCAAGTCTGAACTCCTGAGCCTGAGAAGCATGGCTGCACCACTTGGTCCTACAAGGTCTTTCCCCACTCTTTAAGACAGCCAGGCTGCAGTGCTAGAGGGTCAGCGTGGATCTCAGGATCATGCTTCTCATTTTCTCACCTCTGTCCCTTTTCTCACAGTCTTACTTCTCACACCCTTCTCCACTCTCACATCCAACATATTTTTACTGCCAAGATTTTTTAAGACCAACCTTCTCCATGAAGCCTTCCTTGACCACTCTAGTCTACAGGGCTCTCTCCCTACTTTGAGCTCTTAACACTTATTCTCACTTCCATTCATTTGGCAATTTATCACTTCCTACCTCTTTCATTCCTCCAAAACCATTGTCTCGGATTATCATTTAACTCTGAGATGTTTACATCTTATCCCCTCACCTAAATCATTAGCTCCTCCATTCATTTAACAAATATATACTGGTTTACTAAGTACCAGGTACTATGCTAGGTATGGGGAGAAAGTCCCTGTTTTCACCTTATACTGCAGCATTTTTTTTAACGCGTAGTAAGAAAGTTCAGGCATGGCGGCTGTACCAGAGACCCTTGCCACACTCTTCATCATCCAGTGGAGAAGTCTGTCAAGGGCATTAAAGAATATTAAAAGGCTAATGTTTATTAACTTTTCCTGTGTCTTTAACACTATAGATTTACCAACTACTACATGAGTTCAGTTGGACCCCCTTCCTACTGATGCGTTTATAGAAATCACATTTTAACATCACCGTCAGAAGCAGACTGTGTATGAAGCTGTGATATGGTTTACTATCAGGTGGTATAAACAGAGCTGGATTCTCGGCTCCTTCCTTTAACTGAAATCCTAGTGACATGAAACTGTGGTCAATTTGAACAAATGCCCTTCAGCCTCTGAGACTAGGAGGGCAAGCAACCTGCTGTGGGCTGATGAGATATACTAAATGTGAGCTTTTTTGATCCTCGTGAGGGACATTTCTGTGAGCTGAAAAGCCTACTCAAAAGTTTACTTGGGTTGTAGAAATTAATATTCGAGGCCTAACATTTACAAATTCAAGACTCTAGTTTTCCTTAAGCCTGTAAATTCAGTTTACAAGCGCTACTGCTCTATTTATAAGTGTAGCAAGTTTTATTATTCACTTCTAAGAGATCTTTCAATAATGTTTGGTCTAATTTATAAACTTAGTTAATTAAACACTTCCAAACACTTTAAACTGTACTTGGAAGAAAAATATTCACTTTCCTTAGTGTGTTGGGAATCCCCTAGACCACCCCCACATTCAGAGATTCATGGAAGGATTCCACGTTCCTGGAAGGATTTACAGAACTCAGCGGACAGTTCTATTCATAGCTAAGATTTATTGTAGAAGTGTAGAAGGATACACAGCTGGATCATAAGGGAAAGACACAGGCAGAGTCTGGAGGACTCCACTGCAGGCTTCCATATGCTCCTTCCCTCCCCGAGGGGTCACCCAGAGCACACTCTTTTCCCAGCAATGAAAATTCAACAACATGTATACAATATTTTGGCCCAAGGGAGCCTACTAGAGACTTCGAGCCCAAGGTTTTCACTGGGGGTTGGATATGTAGGCATGCTCTATACCAAAATTCCAGATTCCCAGAAGGTGAGCAGGCAAACAGTTTGCACAATCTAGTCAAAGCAAACCACCCTTATCTCTTAATTGACATACTTTGTTAGCTTGTTGACTAGGAACACTCTGTGACCTAACTTTGCAGATGCCAGCCAGAGACCAATCTCGACAGCAGGCCTTTCTAAGGATAGCAGTCTCAGACCTGCTGTGTTAACTCTTCTGCACACTTAGGTACTCCCATTTTCTAATTTGACAAACTAAACTTTCCCAAGTACTCAAATAACCCATATGAAGCAAATAGTTGAAATCATAAACATGGTCAACCATAGTTCTTTCAAATGTCCCATTATTTTCTACAATCTTAGTAAGATTTCAACTTTAAATCAAAAGCCTAAATCACTTATTTAATTACACATTGGAAATTGAACTGACAAAATTGGTCTCATACTCTAAAAGGTCAAATTCTATTAAATAATATAAATACATAAAATAACAAATAAGTAAAAACTCTTTAATATGTAAGTATTAACATGGATTTGATCGTCTTAAACATTTCTATGATCAATCCCAAATCTTCCCAGAAAGCAAGGTGCCTTTACACGAAGGAAACTAAATGTTACCTCCAGAAGTGTTGGCAGATATCCTGGCAGCTGGCTGAGGTAGCTTGTCCTGGAAACCGGAGATTTCTGCAGGAATTGATTTCTCACCCTGACCCTGATGTGTGGTTGATTAGGGAATTTCAAGGTGAGTTACTGTCCCTGCATTTATGTTACATATTAGCTACTTCTTCTGACTGTTGACGAAAGTCTGCAATTTACCCTAGGTTAAGCGTTGACAGGATGCTGCTTTTCTATTTTTTTAATTGTGGGAGCACCTTAATGTAATTGTCATTTAGGTGTAAATTTGAAGCTTTCTGAACTTAATGAAATTCTTCATTCTCTCATATTCTTGCTATCATTTAGGACCACACTTTTTGTAGAGGCGAAAACGACCTCAGATTGAATGTTGGATATGTGCTTATGGTTTTATCTAGATGGTCATAACTTTGAAAGTCATTTTCTTCCTTCTTTTGTTTTTTCTTTTCTTTTCTTTTTTTTATTTGAGGAAGATTAGCCCTGAGCTAACATCTGTGCCCATATTCCTCTATTTTGTTTTTGTTTTTTTGAGGAAGATTAGCCCTGAGCTAACTACTGCCAATCCTCTTTTTGCTGAGGAAGACTGGCCCTGAGCTAACATCTATGCCCATCTTCCTCTGCTTTATATATGGGATGCCTACCACAGCATGGCTTTTGCCAAGCGGTGCCGTGTCTGCACCCGGGATCTGAACTGGCAAACCCCAAGCCGCCGAGAAGCAGAAAGTGTGCACTTAACCACTGTACCACCGGGCTGGCGCCATCTTCTTCTATTTTATAGGTGGGATGCCTGCCACAGCATGGCTTGACAAGTGGTGCGTAAGTCTGTGCCTGGGATCCAAACCGGCGAACCCAGGCCACCAAAGTGGAATGTGTCAACTTAGCTGCAATGCGACCAGGCCAGCCCCCTTCTTTCGTATTTTTTAAAAATAAACTTTATTTTTTAGAGTGGCTTTAGGTTCACAGCAAAATTGAGTGTAAGGTACAGAGATTTCTCATATATCTTCTGCTTCCCCCTGACAAACACACTCTCCTCCACTATCAACATACCCCACCAGACTGGCGCATTTGTTGATCAATCAATGAACTTACACTGACATCATAATCACTCCAAGTCTATAGTTTAAATTAAGGTTCATCTTTTTTTTTAATTGAGGTCACATTGGTC